AAAGGGTCTAATAAACCTGCGTGCAGTGCGCGCGAAAACGCTGATGTGCACTCTGCACAGGACGCGTTGCACACGCCACGTGCGGCGTGCCCGAGCTCAGAAGGCGGTCTGTCGTACTCTGGGGTGTCCAGACTCACACACCACAGCTGTTACATTTTGGCTATTCCTGATTGTCATCCCCCCTCCTTAAGCTGCTGGTGTGCGTGCCGTTTCTTACATACGCTGTGCCACCAACAGAAGGTGTGTATAAAAGGCACATATGTGAAAAGTTTTGAAAAACGATTTCTATAGTAATTACTATGTAGCGTAAGGAGACATTTGGTTGCTTATCCACAATAATAAGAAGATACAAAAGGGATAAGACATTTGTTTTCCCCCAAAACAAGATAGTTTGATGTATTTGTTCTGCTATTTTTAATGAAAAATAGTTGTACAGTAAGTTCTCACTCAGTGTCATCCATAGGTTCTGTGATTGTAGGCAAGACGAGGTATAGCGAAACCAATTTCTGCCATGGGTTAGCTGGTGCAAGGAAGTGTGGAGTCCGTAGGGCAACTCCTTGGTGTCGCAGAGAAACGACGTCGGGTGAGACGGGGTGATTCCAGGCCCGCTGTGCCGCTGGGCGGTCACCGCTCTGCTCTCACCTTACTCGCGTGCACAGGCTGGGCTCGCCCTAGGTGGCTCCTTCCTTTTCTCCTTTCGTCATTTGCTCAGTAAATGGCTTCATTTGACAAATACACTCAGGTGTGTGTCATACCTGTTATGTTACCGATGTGATACTAATGTAAGGTGTCACTTTAAAAATGCTAGACACAGATTTTAAAACACCATCAATCTGTGTAAAGAGTAACCCCAAGAAGTGCATGTTTAAAAAAAATCCAAAATTTTAAGCAGAAATTACTCTTTCCTATTTCTTAAAAGTGTTCCACTGACAATAGTTACCTGTTTTGATAGTGTGTCACAGGAGGTTTTATCTTTAGTTGTATGTATGTTAAAAAGCTAATGGAAGGGTTTGCCGTAATGCTTTATATATTGTCATTGGTAGGAGTCTGTCATTTCTGTTTATAACGAAGTGAGCAGCAACGAATAGCCTTAGACATAATTGTTGTTAACCTCTTAGAAAAGAACCTGCCACTTCGCATAAATATAGTCGGTGAGCCATGGAGAAGGTCTGTACTTAAACAGTAGGGTTAATGAATGTCTTTTTTCTTTATTTTGGTCTTTAAAGTCGCAGTTAGCTCAGGCTGTTTGAAATGATTTTCTTTGAATGTGTTGAGACATTGTTTTAATTGAATGAAGCTGCAGAACTAGCATGATAAATCAACACAGAATGAATTTTAATGCAAGGCATACAATATTAACTTGGAAATTGGTTGCAGTAGACAAAGCAGCTGCTATGATTAATTTTTTTTCATTCTGCACTTACGACATTCTGAGAAGGATGACCTTGACAGTCTCAACTGTATTGGAGTCCCAGTGGTAGGCCCTGTGAACACCCTTGAGCTGGAGTTTTTGGTTGGGTAATAGAGATTGGTTCATTTTTAAGGTTACAAAAATGTTGTGTTACAGAATTAATATATTGGTTTTGAGTGGTTTTAAAACATTTCTTATTAATAAATAATCACTGTGAGGATTATTGAGCTGTGGGAAGTCTTTTTCTATGTAATTTTAATGCTGTGGTTCCGCAGAAGAGGTTGAATGTCTGAAAAGAATAAAATGTGCCAAAGAGTGTCTTCCAAGTGTATACATGTTACGAAGTGTAGGCCAGCCAGTTTGGTAGAAGGTTCAAGTCAAAAATAAGTAGTTTTTTGAAGCACAGAAGTACCTGTGTACTTAATGCAGTTCTGCAGACATCCTCAGCCGTGAGTGCGATACACAACGTGTGCACAGGGTGTGCCGTGCTGGCACAGCATGGGCCTGGACAGAGTGTGGTGACCAAGGTGTGGCCAGCACGGTGGGGTGTGTTACAGGCAGTCGGGGTAACACACGGAGGACAGGGGCTTTACAGAGTTCGTGAGAACAGGGGATTTCTCCTCTTTCTCCTCTTTTGTTTTGATCTCTAGTGTCTGTTTTGCTCCTTATCACACAGCAGACCTTATATAAATGTTTTATTGAGTCGAATTTGAAAATGGAAGGCCTTTCTCTATTCAGCTGAAAAAGACCCAAAGTAAGTACAGTGAGTGAGGAACAGACGTCTAGATCCTTGTCTCTGTCTCAGCTGTTTTGAGGGGCGGAGCGGGAGGGAAGTTGTGTAGAATCTGTGACTGTATAGAAAGGTGAAGTTATAATAGTAAGTTGCAGAAAAGTAGGAAGAGCTTGCTGTAAGTGAACATAGGGACAGGCCTGTTGATAAACTTTCTGTGAGATGTGTATTTTCTCTCTTTCTCCCACCCTTGTTCTAATGTATTTTACTTTATGCTGCCTGAAGTTATGTCAGTTCTTGATCTGTGTCTGCTAAAAGGCAGCCACTTAAAAAGGCCATGGGTCCCCTTGCTGGTGGCTCCTTTGGTTGGTTGGATCATCGTCCTGTACATCGAAAGGTTGTGGTCAGGGCGTATACAGGAGATAATCAGTCAGTGTTGCCCCACTTCTTCTCTCTCTAAAACCAATAAAAACATATCCATGGGTGAGGATTAAAAAAGATGCCATGGACTTTTTTCTGTTTAAGGACTAATAGGGTAATTCAGACTATCTGAGCAATTCTAGTAAAATTAAACAAAACAGGAAGAAACATCTGCTTGAATGCAGCAGAGATGCAGTAATACCGGGCAGAATGCTAGCTCCAGATACTGAGGAGGGCAGAGGATGATCCAGAATGGACGCCTGGCTTTGGAGAGCTGCTTTTCCTCTGGGTGTGTCTGCTGAATCTGGAGAGGACAGCTGGGAGGCTGACCTTTGGGGGCAGAGTCTGAGTCTGTGACCCATCTGCATGGCGCCTTCACACCTCCAGTCGTAGCTGTGGTTGCGGCGGCGGGTCGGCCTCGAGTTTTCTCGGCCTCTGAAAGTGAAGTTGTTGTTGGTGATCTTGGGTTGCTAGTAGCAGTAAGCACCTGGCAGAGAGATGATATATATATCCTCTCTGGAGGAAGGTCATGTCACTTTAGGCCCTGTGTTACTTCTGTCAGCTGTTTTGCATGCACAGTGTCTAGCCGACACTAAGAAATAACCAAACACATAAGAAGGTAAGGTGACATTAACACACACGAAGAAAGGACGGGGCAGCAGAAAGAGATCCACAGGGACTGCTGACAGTCTTTACATACTAGATGTGAGGCAGAAGACAAATTGGACAGCCATGGCAGAAATGGACACTCCCAAAGGAATATTAAACGGAAACATTCCTGAACTGGAATAAACATGTTTAACAGAAGGTTAGAGCCATTTGGGGAGAGCATCAGAGAACTGGAAGACAGAGCAGAAGAAATGACTCAGCCGTGAGAGTCGGCAGGAAGGAGCAAGTGGGAGGAAGTGTGAATTGCTGGAGGGACACGGTCAGAGCATCTCATGTGTGTCGTGGGAGGGTTAGCAGAAGAGAGAGGGGCCAGGAGTGGGGTGGGGGGAGATTGTGGTTGAGAACCTCCAAACCAAAGAAATACAGTCACAGATTCATGAAATTCTGAGCCATCAAGTGAAAACCATCCCTAACCCTATTATAGTAAAACTGCTCAAAACTGATGGTAATGAGAAAACCTTAAAAGTAGCAAAAAGAAGATGGTTACCTTCGCAGGAGTAGCAGTGAAAGTGGGTGACAGAGTGGCTTAGGTTGGGTATCAAGCACAATATGCTGAGCAGTGGACAGGGGTGAGGGGTTTTATTGGAATATGTAGAGGTGGTTCGGGCAACTTTCAGAATTTGGGGTCTTCTGGAACTAGATCAAGTGGTTATAGGCTCAGAGTTGCAACTGAGGGTGGAAAAAGTTGTATCAAAGTTGGCTAGCAGCTGAGTGAGGTGCGGGGTAAGAGCCACTGAGCAGAGGGTTGAAGAAGTGCCCCAGCTCCTCCAGCCCTGACAGCATGTGACTTTCACGCGGTGACGGCCCAGCAGAGGGCCAGATGCAGGGAAAAAATAGGAAGCTGTGCACATGAGAAGCATTTCCTATGGGTTTTTGTGGAAGTGATGATAAGCACTCACTTTGGCCTTTCATGCAGAGGACATGTGAATGAGGAACATTTACTTTTCAATGTTGAGTTATTCAGTTCTTTACCTTAGCATTTCATCCTCCCCCTCCCCCAAATAAACTTCTGTATATGAATGATAGAAGTTTCTGTTAAGGGATGCTACTTCTTTATTTATGCAGTTACTTTTATCACTGTCTTATTCATGGAAAGAAGTAAACTTCCTTCCAAAAATAGTAGTATAAGTTAAAGGTAGGATGGAAAAAAGAAAATAGGGAATCAGACGTAAAATTTTGCAAGGAATGTGATGAAAAAGGATACTTTTAATTTAAGACTTAAACATTTAGTACAGGGTGGAATCCAAATTTGGCCACCAGAGTTGAGTTCTGATAGGCCACCTAAAAATACAGTCTCTGAACATTTGCATTCGAGAAAGTATAACTTTGCTTATTAGGTAAATAACAGCATTTTTCCCTGAGGATTTCAGTTAAAAAAGAAGAAAAGCAATTACTGTTTAACACAATGAACAGTTCCCTGACGACCATCATTACAGAATTTTTGGAAGACATTTTCATTCTTGGGTAGCATCCAAAATTCTGCATGTGCTTTGGTTTATATTCCACGTTGATGGACAGTACCGGGTAGTACCCTTTCAGGTAGATGGTATTGTCCCTAACTTATAGTTTGTATTAATACATACGAAAATTTTTGTGCTGGAAAACGAGCTGTTGTACCTACATCCCTCAACTCGGAAGGAAATTCATAAGGACTCTTTAATGGTATTTCAGCTGAGTAGTAAAAAGTAATTTGAGAAAGTAAAGATATGTTTTTAAATAATTTAACAGCTATAAATTCAAGAAAATAATGTATGGTGACTTTTTTTCCAGTTTAATTTTGTTGGGAGAATCCTTGGACCTAGAGGACTTACAGCTAAACAGCTTGAAGCAGAAACGGGATGTAAAATAATGGTCCGAGGCAAAGGCTCGATGAGGGATAAAAAGAAGGTAAGTTCTTGAAAACAGAGGCAATTCTTTATGTGAGTAATTTAATTAAACTTTTGTATTCTAATGAAGTATTCAGATTTTTTGTGTAAAGCACTGCACATTATTTCATGTCGGAGACTTGAACGCTTTAAAGGTGTCAACATGATGTTGCCCTGCTAATTAATATTTTTCACTTAGCCAGCTGAAGTGCCACTTGATCCATCATGTTAACCTTGGTTTTCACAATCAGAAGCTTCCAATTTGGGGATTAGTGAGACTGTCGTGTGTATAAAAATACGTAATTAGAGGTTTGGGAGATCCAAGGTGTTTCTCTTGAGATGCAGATGAGAACAGTCACCCAGCCTCATTTTTGGTTTCACCAGCTCTTTGTGTTGATCGTAAGTTTTATAGACATTTTACTTTAAAGCATATTGTTTCTGTTTGTTCTTTTCTCCTACTTGTTCTTGTTTTACCATTTTAATTAATAAAGACCCAGCTCTGTACTTATAATTTGTTTTTAGGAAGCTTTTATTTGCCTAGTCTAGTTTCCTTTTATATAGCAATACTATGAGGCAGAATATCTTTGTGTAAAAAACATTTTGACTTATTTTTTTAAAAAATCCTAGATTATGTTGCCAAAGATTAAACTTATTGTGAGGAGGCATTTTTGTTGTTGTTGTTGTTGTTGTTGTTGGCTTGTTTTTTTGTTGTTTGTTGAATGCTTTGCCTGGCAAGGACTCTCAGGTGGTAGCCCTGGGGTCAGCTTGTGTTTGCGCATGTGCACGGAGCTTCTCGGCGACGCGGACCTGCAGTCTGTCCTGGCCGCGCCAGCGCCCCGCCTCCTGCTGCCGAAGCTCTCCCATAAGCTGACTGCATTGCCATCACTTTTTTCTCCCTACAGACAAATAATGAGTCAGTAGCTAAAAAGTCCTCATTGGTGTAATTTTTTAAATGTTACTGTAACTTGATCTTGTCATCTGAGTTTAAAGATGAGACAGCATGTGAGTTCCCCTTTAGTATATTTAGATACTGTATTAAAACTATTTTTGTTAGGATCTTAACTGTTAAGACTCTAGATTCTCAGTCAGCTGGGTGATAATCTTGAATGTACTGTCTGTCATTCACTATGGGTTCCCACATTTCTGCTTACGGTTGCATTGTCATTGAGTAGTGCTGCTTTCAGAACCTGGGGACAAGGAGGTGAAATCTTGACAACTGAAGGATAAATAAACCTTCACCAAAAGATGAGTGTGTCCATCCGTTTAAAAGGTTAGTCTTAGCATCAGTGAACAGCACATGCTTTGTCCTCTCGTCGCCTTCTGTTCATTCTGCAGTAACGGCTTCCCCTTCCTTCACTCCTGCCTGACAGACACCATGGCTGAGAGCTGGCAGTATGGAGTAAGGCAGGGCAAAGTCTGTTTTCCATTAGCAGGAGAACAGAGTGGTTAGGAGAGTGAGCTCTGCAGCCAGATTGCTTCAGTTTGAATCTTGATTCTTTCACTTAGCAGCTTTGTGACCTTGGACAAGTTATTTAATCTCTTTGTGGTATATACGAAGTCTGTCTGGAAAAAGTCCAGCCATTCTTAATATAGTGAGAATGGTTTGTGTGACATCAATGTAACCTGGCAACCAAGGAGAGTGGACTGGAATGCGCATGTGTGAACAATGACATCTTCACTGTACTAGTCAGTGGGGGCAGTAGATGCTGTTGAGTGAGCGTGTGCACTGTGTGACTGTCATATTCAAAATGACAGTGATTAGCACACTGGATCTGCATCAGATTTTGCCTTCAACTTGAACAGAGATTCCACAGAGGAATCTGTGGAAACTACTCAGATGATTCAGAAGGCCACAGCTGTGGGCAGCTGGTGAATGGCAGCACGACAGTGCACCTGCTCATGCATCGCTTCTCATGCAGAGGTTTTTGGTTTTCTTTTGTTGTTGTTGTTGTTTGTTTTTTTTTTTTGTTTGTTTTGAGAAACATCAAATTGCCCAGGTGACTCAGCCCCACTACAGCCTAGATTTGGCACCTTACAACTTCTACCTTTTCCCCAAAACTAAATCACTTTTGAAAAGGGAAGAGATTTCAGACCTTTGGTGAGATTCAGAAAAATAATGATGGGGCAGCTGATGGTGGTTGGGTGAATTGTGTGAGGTCAAGGTGTCTGCTTTGAAGGGGACTGAGGTGTCATTGTCCTATTTACAATGTTTCTTCTACTTTTTATCTTCTTCAATAAATATCTCTCTCATAGTACCTGGCTGGATACTTTCTGCACAGACCTCGTATATGAAATGGTACTTGTAATGTTGCTTATCTGTTACGGTGCTTGTGAGTATTAAATTAATCCTAAAATACTTAGGATAGTGTTTTGTCATACAGTAAACGATTAATATTAATGTTCTTAACAAATTTTATCTTAACATTGTTTGATGGTACATTTTATGTTTAAACTCCCGGGTGTATAATAGGAATTCTACAGATTTTTTTTTTTTTTTTTTTAGATTTTATTCATTTAGTTTTTAGAGAGAAGAGGGAGGGAGAAGGAGAGGGAGAGAAACATCAGTGTGTGGTTCCTCTTGCACGCCCCCTACTGGGGACCTGGCCCACAACCCAGGCCTGTGCCCTGACTGGGAATCCAACCAGCTACCCTTTGGTTCTCAGGCCTTTACTCAGTCTAGTGATCCACACCAGCCAGGGTGGAATTCTACAGATTTTTAAGCTTGGAAATAAATGACAGTACTTATTTTGTCACCTTTGAATATCCTGTATTCTCATGACTTTTCTGTTCTCCTTCTCTGGTTGTGGGTGTGTTCATATTCTGTCTTGTCTTAATCACATGTATAAGTAGTTCACACATTTTATTTGTTTTTTATGTCTACTGTTGTTTATTAAAATTTTAAAAAGCTTGCCCTGGCTGGCGTAGCTCAGTGGATTGAGCGCGGGCTGCGAACCAAAGTGTCCCAGGTTCGATTCCCGGTCCGGGCATATGCCTGGGTTGCAGGCCATGACCCCCAGCAACTGCACATGGATGTTTCTCTCTCTCTCTCTCTTTCTCCCTCCGGTCCCTCTCTAAAAATAAATAAATAAAATCTTTAAAAAAAAAAGCTTACAGAATATACATGCAAGAAAATGATATTACAATGATACTGAAAAATTGGCTAAGATTACATTTTTAGTTTTATTTAAAGCTACAAATGAACACAACTTGGACATATTAATTGGAATAGCTACCATGTGTTTTATGTTATGGTATGTGGGTTCTGTGGAGAGTTTATAGATTTATAATACCAGGAATATCTTCTGTAATACTAATTTAAATCTATTACACATAATAAATTAACCAAATCACCTTGGGTTATGCTATAGTTTATTTAATGAGCTCTTAAAAATGTTAATAAAAGTAAAGTCAAAATGGAAAGTACTACCATTTCTTGGTGGCTGTTATTTTGAGAAAGACCATGACAAACAGATGGAGACAAGAAGAGGTATTGATGTAAATAGGAAGCCTGGTTGAGGTGTATTTCTGGTGTTTCAAAGGAAAATCCATTTGACTTGAAGCTTTTCTGCAGAGGTGTCCATTTAGGTCAAAGAGTAGAAAGCTAGAAAATAAAGCTTAATTTACTGATTGCCCTAAAATACTGTGATGGAAATGGTGCTTGCTGGTCTGTATTCATCAGCTAGACTGGCAAAATCAGTGAGGGCAGACAGGCTGTGCCCGCTTTGTGGAGCGTTTCCCTGGTGGTGGAGGAATACCTGGCATACGGTAGGACCTGGAAAAGTACCTGGGAAGGGAGCACATACTTCATGAAAGGCATAGATGCCCCTCCCTCCCTGACCTCCAGACCCCTATAAAGGATTTTGTAAATAGAGAAAACTATAAAACCTATGGGCTTTTAATCCTTTGGGGACGATAAGGCAGTACCGTATTATTCTGAGCTGTTTGAAATAGTGGAGTGACTATGCCACTTCCATTTTCATTCTTTTGGATTGATACTGCTTTAGCGTTATTGATGGGCATAAGAGCACTGATTTTGAATGCAATGGAACCGAAGAGTCGGAACTGCAGCGAGACTTCATGACAGACTTGGAGGTGTCTGTCTCCAGGCCAGCGTGTGGCGGTGCTTTTCTGTAGCTGACCACCCGTACCTCGGTCTCCGATAGTGACAGGGCCTCTGCCTGTGGAAACGGGTTTTGTGTGGGTCGTCCTTTTGGTCTGTAGTGAACTTTGTATTATGTAGTATTCTAAGTATTCTAAGTATGTATAATGTATTTACATACATGTAATTATTGTGAGTTTAGTTATTTCCACTTTGTAGATGAGGAAACTGAGGTTCAGGGAGGGTGCCTAATTTGCCGAAGTTCAGGTGCTAAAAAATAGTTAAAATTTGAACATAGAGCCTGTACTCTATTCTATGGCGTACTGTCTTCTAGTTACAAGCCATTTATAAGAGTGGTATCAACTTCAGAAATATTAGAAGACCCTGAATATTGAGTATTCTAAGCTTTATGAAGTCAATAGGATTTCTCCAAGCTTTTTGTTCATTCTCTAAATAATATATTTTGAAATTTTTATAAGCATTACTGTTTTGGTTTTCGTAAATCCTTCCTTTAGACAAGATTTTATCCCTTGTTTTCTGATGGGAAACCATATACTCGCGCAGATGAGAAATGCTAGAGAAGCCCTGGCTGGTGTGGCTCGGTGGACTGAGTGTCAGCCTGCGAACCAAAGGGTCGCTGGTTCGATTCCCGGTCAGGGCACAGGCCTGGGTTGCAGGCAAGGTTCCCAGTGGGGGGCATGTGAGAGGCAACCACACATTGATGTTTCTCTCCCTCTCTTTCTTCCTCCCCTTCTCTCTGGAAATAGATAAATGAAATCTTAAAAGAAAAGAGATGCTAGAGAAGTAATTTCGGGAAAAGAAAGTGATTATTTGTAGTTTCTTAATTGAGGTGATAGGGCTGTAGGGGCTGCATGAAGGGCTGTGGGAAAAACGTCTATGCTAGAAGGCATGGTCCACCCTCA